CTGGGCCACCAAATTTGGCCAAAATCATCATTAGGGTATCTAGTTTAAAAAATGTGTCCGATGACCCTGCCAACCAGCAAAGATGGCAGCCATGGCTAGAAATAGAACATAGGGGGAAAATGTAGATTTTGGCTTTTATCTCTGAAAACAAAGCATTTAGAGTAAATCTGACACATGGTAAAACTGATTATCACATGAAGATCTATCTGTCCTGAAATTTTCAGACAAATCTGACAACCTGTTGTTGGGTTGCTGCCCCTGAATTGGTAATTTAAGGAAATTTTGCAGTTTTTGGTTATCATCTTGAATATTATAGATAGAGATAAACTGTAAACAGCAATAATGTCCAGCAAAGTAAGATCTACAAATAAGTCGTAATGACAAAAATTGTCAGTTGACCTCTTTAGGAGTTATTGCCCTTTATAGTCAATTTGTTGTAAATTTTTGTAATCTTTTACAAAAATCTTCTCTGAAACTACTGAGACAAAGTTAACCATACTTGGCCATAATCATTATTAGGGTATCTAGTTTGAAAAATTTGTCCGAATACCCCACCTTCCAACCATCATGGCTAACTTGGTTAAAAATAAAATATAGGGGTAAAATGCAGTTTTTGGTTTATATCTCTGAAACTAAAGCATTTAGAGCAAATCTGACAGGTGGCAAAAATGTTCATCAGATTGAGATCAGGCGAATCCTACAACCTGTTGTTGGGTTGCTGCCCCTGAGTTAGTAATTTTACAGAAATTTTGCAGTTTTTAGCTCACCTGGCTTAAAGGGCCAAGTGAGCTTTTCTCATCACTTGGCGTCCGGCGTCTGGCGTCCATAGTCCGTTAACTTTTACAAAAATCTTAATTCTCCTCTGAAACTACTGAGCCAAATTTAACCAAACTTGGCCACAATCATCATTGGGGTATCTAGTTTAAAAATGTGTCCGGTGACCCAGCCAACCAACCATGATGGCCACCATGGCTAAATATAGAACATAGGGGTAAAATGTAGATTTTGGCTTATATCTCTGAAACCAAAGCATTTAGAGCAAATCTGACATGGGGTAATATTGTTTATCAGGTCAAGATCCATATGCCCTGAAATTTTGAGATGAATGGGACAACTTGTTATTGGGTTGCTGCCCCTGAATAGGTAATTTTAAGGAAATTTTGCAGTTTTTATACGACCGCAAAAAAATTTTTGTGGTCGTATATTGGTATGACGTTGGCGTCGTCGTCGTCGTCGTCGTACGAAGACACATTAGTTTTCGCACTCTAACTTTAGTTTAAGTGAATGGATCTCAATGAAATTTTACCATAAGGTTCAATACCACAAAAGGAAGGTGGGGATTGATTTTGGGGGTTATGGTACCAACAGTTAAGGAATTAGGGGCCAAAAAGGGGCCAAAAGTAAGCATGTTTCTAGTTTCATGACAATAACTTGGTGTGTAAGTCTATGGATCTCTCTGACATTGTACTACAAGGTTCCATATCACAAAGGGAAAGCTGGAATTGTGTTTGGGGGTAATTGCCGAAACGTTTAGGAATTTGGGGCCAAAAAGGGGCCAAAAATAAGCATTTTTCTAGTTTCCAGACAATAACTTGTGTTCAAGTGTATGTATCTCTCTGAAATTGTACTGCAAGGTACCATACCACAAAGGGAAGGCTGGGATTGATGATGGGGGTAATTACCTCAATATTTTATGAATTAGGGGCCAAAAAGGGGCAAAAAACAAGCATTTTTCTAGTTTCAGGACAATAACTTGTGTGTAAGTGTATGGATCTTTCTGAAATTGTACTACAAGGTTCCATATCACAAAGGGAAAGCTGGGTTTGAGTTTGGGGGTAATTGCCCTAAACGTTTAGGAATTTTGGGCCAAAAAGGGGCCAAAAAACACATTTGTCTAGTTTCCAGACAATAACTTGTGTTCAAGTGTATGGATCCCTCTGAAATTGTACTGCAAGGTACCATACCACAAAGGGAAGGCTTGGATGAATCATAAGGGGGTTCAAAAAATTTGGGGGGGGATTTTTTTTTTCCTTTTTTTCTTTTTTTCCTTTTTTTTTTTTTTCTTTTTAAATTTTCCATTTTAAGTTGGTTATTTCTGATTTATATTTAAAAGCAAATAATAATGATATGGTAGGAGATACACACCAAACAGGATGTGTAAATTATTATATAATAAGTATTGTGCAATACCAAGAAATTTTCAATTGCACAGTATTGCACAATAGCAAGAAATCTTCAATTGCACAGTATTGCGCAATAGCAAGAAATCTTCAATTGCACAATATTGCGCAATAGCAAGAAATATCCAATAGCACAATATTGCGCAATAGCAAGAAATTGTCAATTGTACAGTATTGCGCAATAGCAAGAAATATTTAATTGCACAGTATTGTGCAAAAGAAGATACTTCGTATAAATTGCTTATTTCTTGACCAATTTCAATGGGGTTTTATTCTTGAATTCTTGGGGTTCTTTAATATGCTGAATCTAACCGTGTATTTAGTTTGTGGATTTTGGGCCCCGTTTTTAAATTGGTCCACATTGAGTTCCAAAGGGTCTAAAATTAAACTTTGTTTGAATTCGTCAAAAAATTGAATTATTGGGGTTCTTTGATATGCCGAATCTAACCGTGTATTTAGATTCTTAATTTTTGGTTCCGTTTTCAAATTGGTCTACATTAAGGTCCAAAGGGTCCAAAATTAAACTTAGTTTGATTTTAACAAAAATTGAATTCTTAGGGTTCTTTGATATGCTGAATCTATCCAAATGGGGGTCTAAAATTAAACTTTGTTTGATTTCAACAAAAATTGAATATATGGGGTTCTTTGATATGCTGAATCTAACCATGTATTTAGATTTTTGATTTTTGGGTCCTGTTATCAACTTTGTCCACATTGAGGTCAAAAGGGTCCAAAATTAAACTTTGTTTGATTTCATCAACAATTGAATTCTTGGGGTTCTTTGATATGCTGAATCTAACCATGTATTTAGATTTTGGATATTGGACCATAATAGGTGAATGTCCAATTTAAAATTTATAAGTTCTTAGACCACATTCATTCTGTGTCAGAAACCTATGCTGTGTCAAATATTTAATCACAATCCAAATGCAAAGCTGTATCAAGCTTGAATGTTGTGTCCATACTTGCCCCAACTGTTCAGGGTTCAACCTCTGCGGTCGTATCAAGCTGCACCCTGCGGAGCATTTTATTTATCGTAAAATACTTACTTACGGATTGTGGTTTGAAATTATATTTCTTTCATAGTAGAAATTTATATCCATTTCTAGTACCTTTCTAACAAACTTTTGATAAGTCTCCATTCACTTTATTTTTAATGTGTTGCAGCCAGAGTTATTTTTTCAAATTGGACAGTGTTCAGCCACAAGTATTACAATATGATTTGGATGGAACAAAAGCAATGCAAATATCATGATGCACAATACTGACCCATAGAATAAAGAGAAAGAAAGATAGTGAAAAACAGGAAATATTTGAAAGGGTAAACATTTATTTTTTTAATCTAATAGACTGATTATGACCTTATTAGATTTCATTACTGTGATAAAGATTTATGTTAATTTCCTTCAGGAAATTGGTATACCTTATTTCATATTAATTGGTACAAAATTTGCTGTACAACCAAATATAGTGTATAAAATTTCAGAAAAATTGCATTTTAAGTAAACAATGTAAAAAAATATCATGTTCTGCAATCGAGTAAAATTTTAAGATTCATTTCATATAAGGAACTGGGATGTATAAGGAATCTCCCACACATTGCACTTACTAAGATTTTATTTCATTCAAATTTGTCAACTGTCTACCTAATATTTTACAATAATAAAATGAGTACTTGTGGCATGATTGCCAATGAGATAACTTTGTAGCAGAGACCAAAGGGCAAGTGGATGAGTACTGAAAATTGTCTCTTGTCCTCTACATCAGGAATACTTATATAGGCATTTTTTATCGTTAGATACTTACTTACGGATTGTGGTTTAAAGTATATTTCTTTCCTAGTAGAAATTTATATCCATTTCTAGTACCTTTCTAACAAACTTTTGATAAGTCTTCATTCACTTTATTTTTAATGTGTTGCAGCTAGAGTTATTATTTCAAATTGGACAGTGTTCAGCCGCAAGTATTACAATGTGATTTGGATGAGATCAAAAGCAATGCAAATATCATGATGCACATACTGACCCATAGAATAAAGAGAAAGAAAGATAGTGAAAAACAGGAAATATTTGAAAGGGTAAACATTTCTTTTTTTAATCTAATAGACTGATTATGACCTAATTAGATTTCATTACTGTGATAAAGATTTATGTTAATTTTATCATCAGGAAATTGGTATACCTTATTTCATATTAATTGGTACAAAAATATGCTTTCATTACTGTGATAAAGATTTATGTTAATTTTATCATCAGGAAATTGGTATACCTTATTTCATATTAATTGGTACAAAAATATGCTGTACAACCAAATATAGTGTATAAAATTTCACAAAAATTGTGTTTAAGTAAACAATGTAAAAAATATCCTGTTCTGCAATTGAGTAAAGAGTCATTTCATATAAGGAACTGGGATGTATAAGTACTCTCCCACACATTGTGCTTACTAAAATTTAATTTCATTCAAATTTTTCAACTGTCTACCAAATATTTTACAATAATAAAACTTGTTGCATGATTGCCAATGAGATAACTTTGTAGCAGAGACCAAAGGGCAAGTGGATGAGTACTGAAAATTGTCTCTTGTCCTCGACATCAGGAATACTGATATAAGCATTTTTTATCATAAAATTCTTACTTACAGATTGTGGTTTGAATGTATATTTCTTTCCTATTAAAAATTTATATCAATTTCTAGTACCTTTCTAACAAATTTTTGATATGTCTCCATTCATTTTTTAGCTCACCTGGCCCGAAGGGCCAAGTGAGCTTTTCTCATCACTTGGCGTCCGTCGTCCGTCGTCCGTCGTCAATCCGGCGTCGTCCGGCGTCGTCCGTCGTCGTCCGTCGTCGGCGTTAACTTTTTACATTTTGAACTTCTTCTAGAGAACCACTGAATGGAATGAAACCAAACATGGCATGAATGTTCCTTATGAGGTGCTGACCAAGTGTTGTTACTTTGAAGCCGATCCATCATCCAAGATGGCCGCCAGCGGGGGACTTAGTTTAACATAGGACCCTATGGGAAATGCATACAAATGACTTCTTTTAGAGAAACACTGAATGGAATGAAACCAAACATGGCATGAATGTTCCTTATGAGGTGCTGACCAAGTGTTGTTACTTTGTAGCCGATCCATCATCCAAGATGGCCGCCAGCAGGGGACTTAGTTTAACATAGGACCCTATGGGAAATGCATACAAATGACTTCTTTTAGAGAACCACTGAATGGAATAAAACCAAACATGGCATGAATGTTCCTTATGAGGTGCTGACCAAGTGTTGTTACTTTGTAGCCGATCCATCATCCAAGATGGCCGCCATCGGGGAACTTAGTTTAACATAGGACCCTATGGGAAATACATACAAATGTCTTCTTTTAGAGAACCACTGAATGGAATGAAACCAAACATGGCATGAATGTTCCTTATGAGGTGCTGACCAAGTGTTGTTACTTTGTAGCCGATCCATCATCCAAGATGGCCGCCAGCGGGGGACATAGTTTAACATAGGACCCTATGGGAAATACATAAAAATGTCTTCTTTTAGAGAACCACTGAATGGAATGGAACCAAACATGGCATGAATGTTCCTTATGAGATGCTGACCAAGTGTTGTTACTTTGCAGTCGGTCCATCATCCAAGATGGCCGCCAGCAGGGGACTTAGTTTAACATAGGACCCTATGGGAAATACATACAAATGTCTTCTTTTAGAGAACCACTGAATGGAATGAAACCAAACATGGCATGAATGTCCCTTATGAGGTTCTGACCAAGTGTTGTTACTTTGTAGCTAATCCATCATCCAAGATGGCCGCCAGCGGGGGACTTAGTTTAACATAGGACCCTATGGGAAATACATACAAATGTCTTCTTTTAGAAAACCACTGAATAGAATGAAACCAAACATGGCATGAATGTTCCTTATGAGGTGCTGACCAAGTGTTGTTACTTTGCAGTCGGTCCATCATCCAAGATGGCCGACAGCAGGGGACTTAGTTTAACATAGGACCCTATGGGAAATACATAAAAATGTCTTCTTTTAGAGAACCACTGAATGGAATGGAACCAAACATGGCATGAATGTTCCTTATGAGGTACTGACCAAGTGTTGTTACTTTGCAGTCGGTCTATCATCCAAGATGGCCGACAGCAGGGGACTTAGTTTAACAAAGGACCTATGGGAAATACATACAAATGTCATCTTTTAGAGAACCACTGAATGGAATGAAACCAAACATGGCATGAATCTTCCTTATGAGATGCTGACCAAGTGTTGTTACTTTGTAGCCGATCCATCATCCAAGATGGCCGACAGCGGGGACTTAGTTTAACATAGGACCCTATGGGAAATACATACAATTGTCTTCTTTTAGAGAACCACTGAATGGAATTGAACCAAACATGGTATTAATGTTCCTTATGAGTTGCTGACCAAGTGTTGTTACTTTGCAGTTGATCCATCATCCAAGATGGCCGCTAGCAGGGGACTTAGTTTAACATAGGACCCTATGGGAAATGCATACAAATGACTTCTTTTAGAGAACCACTGAATGGAATGAAACCAAACATGGCATGAATGTTCCTTATGAGGTGCTCACCAAGTGTTGTTACTTTGTAGCGGATCCATCATCCAAGATGGCTGCCAGCGGGGGACTTAGTTTAACATAGGACCCTTTGGGAAATGCATACAAATGACTTCTTTTAGAGAACCAATGAATGGAATAAAACCAAACATGGCATGAATGTTCCTTATGAGGTGCTGACCAAGTGTTGTTACTTTGTAGCCGATCCATCATCCAAGATGGCCGCCATCGGGGAACTTAGTTTAACATAGGACCCTATGGGAAATACATACACATGTCTTCTTTTAGAGTACCACTGAATGGAATGAAACCAAACATGGCATGAATGTTCCTTATGAAGTGCTGACCATGTGTTGCTACTTTGTTGCCGATTTACTGTTCAAGATGGCCACCAGGATATTTTATTAAATAACAGGACCAATATTAATCAAAATTTGGCCTCAATCATTATTTGGGTATCTGTTATGATTTTTATCTATCTTTACATGATTTCTAAAACCAAAGTAGAGTCAGGTGAGCGACACAGGCTCTTGAGAGCCTCTAGTTTTTTATACGACCGCAAAAATTAAAAATTTTTTGGTCGTATATTGGTATGACGTTGGCGTTGTCGTCGTCCGAAGTCACATTGGTTTTCGCAATCTAACTTTAGTTTAAGTGAATGGATCTCCATGAAATTTTACCATAAGGTTCAATACCACAAAAGGAAGGTTGGGATTGATTTTGGGGGTTATGGTACCAACAGTTAAGGAATTAAGGGCCAAAAAGGGGCCAAAAATAAGCATTTTTGTAACTTCCAGACATAACTTGTGTGTTAGTGTATGGATCTCTCTGACATTGTACCACAAGGTTCCATATCACAAACGGAATGCTGGGATTGATTTTGGGGGTAATTGTTGCAAAATTTTAGGAATTAGGGGCCAAAAAAGGGGCAAAAAACAAGCATTTTTCTAGTTTCATGATAATAACTTGTGTGTAAGTATATGGATTTTTCTGAAATTGTACTACAAGGTTCCATATCACAAAGGGAAAGCTGGAATTGAGTTTGGGGGTAATTGCCCAAAACGTTTAGGAATAAGGGGCCAAAAAGGGGCCAAAAATAGCATTTTTCTAGTTTCCAGACAATAACTTGTGTTCAAGTGTATGGATCTCTCTGAAATTGTACTGCAAGGTACCATATTACAAAGGGAATGCTGGGATTGATTTTGGGGGTAATTGCCTCAAAATTTTAGGAATTAGGGACCAAAAAGGGGCAAAAAACAAGCATTTTTCTAGTTTCAGGACAATAACTTGTGTGTAGGTGTATGGATCTTTATGAAATTGTACTACAAGGTTCCATATCACAAAAGGAAAGCTGGGTTTGAGTTTGGGGGTAATTGCTCTAACCGTTTAGGAATTTGGGGCCAAAAAGGGGCCTAAAAACAAACATTTTTCTAGTTTCCAGACAATAACTTGTGTTCAAGTGTATGGATCTCTCTGAAATTGTACTGCAAGGTACCATACCACAAAGGGAAGGCTGGGATTGAGTTTGGGGGTGATGAATCATAAGGGGGTTCAAAAAATTTAGTGGAGGGATTTTTTTTTTCTTTAAAATTTTCCATTTTAAATTGGTTATTTCTGATTTATATATAAAAGCAAATAATAATGATATGGTTTGAATAGGTAAATTAAAAATTTTTAAGTTCTTAGACCACATTCATTCTGTGTCAGAAACCTATGCTGTGTCAAATATTTAATCACAATCCAAATTCAGTGCTGTATCAAGCTTGAATGTTGTGTCCATACTTGCCCCAACTGTTCAGGGTTCGACCTCTGTGGTCGTATCAAGCTGCGCCCCAGCGGAGCATTTTAATAATGTTTTGCAGCTAGAGTTATTATTTCAAATTGTGAAAAAGGCAGATATTCAGTGTGAATTTTTGCCAAGAAAGACCAACAGGTTTGTAGGTTATTATGAATAGAATTGAGAATGGAAATTGGGAAATGGTCAAAGAGCAGAAAACAGTGCAAGGCCACCAATGGGTCTTCAACACGGCGATAAAATTCTGCACTTGGAGGTGGGCTTCAACTGGCCCCTAGACAAAAATGTGTACCAGTTCGTGAAAATTGATGTCACACTTAACTATAAAACATTAAAATGAATTAAAATTAAAAACCGTACAAGACTAACAAAGTCCGGAGGCTCCTGACTTGGGACAGGCGCAAAATTACACTGGTATGAAACATGTTTAGTGAGATCTTAACCCTCCTCCTATACCTCTAGCCAATGTAGAATTAACAAACCCATGCCAATATGCACAGTAAAACTCAAAGAAGTCTGAGTCCGATGTCAAAATAGGTAACAAAAGAAACTAAACACTCGATTCCAATCTGAATTGACTAGGATTGTCAGTTTTCCTATCCACGGTCGGTGGTTTTCTCCGGGCACTCTGGCTTCCTCCACCAATAAAAACTGGCCGCCACAAAATAGCCCAAAAGCGGTGCTTAAAAGTGGCGTTAAAACACCAAAAATTAAAAAAAAATCAAATATATCAAATTTAGTATAATTATATTATTTGTTATACCCCACTTAGGGGTATTATGTTTTTCGGTCTGTGCATCCATTCGTTCATCCATCCGTCTGTTTGTTCGTTCATCCGTCTGTCCCGCTTCAGGTTGAAGTTTTTGGTGAAGGTAGTTTTTGATGAAGTTGAAGTCCAATCAACTTGAAACTTAGTACATATGTTACCATATGATATGATCTTTCTAATTTTAGTGCCAAATTAGAGTTTTTACCCCAATTTCACGGTCCACTGAACATAGAAAATGATAGTGCGGGTGGGTCATCCGTGTACTATGGACACATTCATGTTTTTCATAAAATATAGCCTTGTTTTTTTTTAATCAGTAAATATGGAACATGAACTCATTGTTGATGAAAAGATACATAAATGTAGTCATGAAGAAAAATGATTTAGTTCGCCAATGGTGAGAATTTTTCTTGGCAATCTATCAAAGGGAATGACTTTACTAACACATTTTACAATACTCTTTGTACAAGGAACATTGTAAAAGTTTTCTTGGCTTCAATGAAAGGGTATAATCAGTTACTGTTGATTCATTCAAGATCGTGGGATACCAATTTTCGTGGATTTCGTGGGTACAGGGCAACCATGAATTTCTATGTTCAACGAACTACAAATATTCTATAGGAATGATTGCAGACTTTGACAAAACCACGAAATAAAATATCAATGAAAATGCGAGTTTTCCTTAAACCACGAAAATTGGTACCCATGAAAATAAATTAATTCACAGTATGCATAAGTAACAGATAACTTCAATCAATTGCATGTAGACACTCAGGTCCAGACATGGTATTGGTCTTGTTAATGGTCTGACACCTGAGTTTTTATGTTTCATTGATCAGACAATAATTTTTGTTTAGTTAATAGCCATTTCAAACAAAATTCATTTTGATTTCATTTTAAATCAACCTTTTTCATCACATTAATTTTAGTTTTGAGAATGATTTGTATTCATTTTAGGTAAACCTTGTGCACCTGAAGGTCATGGTTATATGATGGCAGATGGATTTATTCACGCTGAAGTGACAGCAAGTATGTTTAATGTTTCCATCATTAAATTTATTTTAGGTAAATCTTTTTCGCCTGAAGGTCCTGATTACATGATGGCAGATGGTTTAATTCCAACCTGAAGAAACAGGAAGTATGTTTAATATTTCTTTGATTAAATTAACAAATTTCATACATATTCCATTTTCAAAAATTTTATTAATATTCCTTTTTTTCAAAATTTATTCACATCATGAAATTTCTGTTTTTTTTTCAGTTTGTAAATAGATATAAGAAGATGTGGTATGAGTGCCAATGAGACAACTCTCCATCCAAGTCAAAATTTATAAAAGTAAACCATGACATGTCAAAGTAAGGTCTTCAACACGGAGCCTTGGCTCACACCGAACAGCAAGCTATAAAGGGCCCCAAAAATTACTAGTGTAAAACCATTCAAACAGGAAAACCAACAGTCTAATCTATATAAAAAACGAGAAACAAGAAACACTTATGAACCACATCAACAAACGACAACTACTGAACATCAGATTCCTGACTTAGGACAGGTGCAAACAATTGCAGCGGGTTTAAACGTTTTAATGGTACCAAACCTTCACCCTTATCTGAAACAATAGTGTAACATCACAACATAGAAAGACACACTATAAAGTATCAATTGAAATGGCTTAGCTCAATCAAAAGACATATTAACACCAGTGAACATACACTGTAAGTCTTTTTTGCCTAAATGTTAATTGTTTTGAGAACATCATTGAAATATAGATCTTTAAAATGATCATTTCCTGCAGACACAATCATCTTAAGTTATGATTTCTGACCACAATAATTAAAAGTAAAACATGAAAGGAGTGTCCAATGATTTGACAAACTACAAAATGTTGGCAAGGTGACCACACTGACCCAAATTTTGGCTCACACCGAACAGCAAGTTATAAAGGGCCCCAAAAATTACTAGTGTAAAACCATTCAAACAGGAAAACCAACGGTCTAATCTATATAAAAAACGAGAAACAAGAAACACTTATGAACCACATCAACAAACGACAACTACTGAACATCAGATTCCTGACTTAGGACAGGTGCAAACAATTGCAGCGGGTTTAAACGTTTTAATGGTACCAAACCCTTATCTGAAACAATAGTGTAACATCACAACATAGAAAGACACACTATAAAATATCAATTGAAATGGCTTAGCTTAATCAAAAGACATATTAACACCAGTGAACATACACTGTAAGTCTTTTTTGCCTAAATGTTAATTGTTTTGAGAACATCATTGAAATATAGATCTTTAAAATGATCATTTCCTGCAGACACAATCATCTTAAGTTATGATTTCTGACCACAACAATTAAAAGTAAAACATGAAACCAGTGTCCAATGATTTGACAAACTACAAAATGTTGGCAAGGTGACCACACTGACCCAAATTTCATCAATATTCCAGTTTCAAAAATTGTTTACCTCATGAAATATCCTTTTTTAGCTCACCTGGCCCGAAGGGCCAAGTGAGCTTTTCTCATCACTTGGCGTCCGTCGTCCGTCGTCCGGCGTTGTCCGTCGTCGTCGTTAACTTTTTACATTTTGAACTTCTTCTAGAGAACCACTGAATGGAATGAAACCAAACATGGCATGAATGTTCCTTATGAGGTGCTGACCAAGTGTTGTTACTTTGTAGCGGATCCATCATCCAAGATGGCCGCCAGGGGGGGACTTAGTTTAACATAGGACCCTATGGGAAATACATACAAATGTCTTCTTTTAGAGAACCAGTGAATGGAATGAAACGAAACATGGCATGAATGTTTCTTATGAGGTGCTGACTGAGTGTTGTTACTTTGAAGCCGATCCATAATCCAAGATGGCCGCCAGCGGGGGAATTAGTTTAACATATGACCCTATGGGAAATACATACAAATGTCTTCTTTCCCTTCCCTAGATTTTCCATCAAACATGATGGAATTTTGTGATGGAAAAAATGCCATCACATTCCATCATGTTGATGGAGTATTGGAACAACTTTCCATCAACTTTCCATCAATGCTGGAAAATGGTTGATGGAAAAGGTTTGATGGAATTTGTGTTCATGATGATGGAAAATTGATGGCATAATTTCCATCTGATGGTATTTTTGCCATCTGATGGATAATTGATGGTATTTTTGCCATCTGATGGAAAACTGATGGTAATTTTGCTATCAGATGGAAAACCAATGGAATATTTCCATTACATGTAAAATGCATGGAAACTTGATGGAGAATTGACCATCAGATGGAATTTGATGGATGAGTAAGGAGAATGTCTTTAGAAAATCTTTCCATTTATGGCATTTTCTGTGATTTAATAAAACAATATTTGTTCTCTGTCGTCTATAGGTAGTCCTGTTACATGTGTGTATCTTTTCGTTCAGTGTCCCATTGAACTCGCTGTCCTTAAAGTTGAATTAGTTGATGGCAAATTCTGCAAAATAAAACTAAAAGAATCTAGCATATAAAAGAATAAGTTAACATTGTACAGATATAAAGTTAGTTAGTTACATTTGTTGTCAATTCTGAAATTATCAAATGAAAATAACACTTTTTGAAAAGATTTGTATTAATGTGTCACTTGCAGGGTCAATTTCTAAGAGTGTCAAATCCTTCTAGAAATTTAATATTCAGAGGTGGATTTAGGAAAGTGGGCTCCCCCTTTCTGAGCTTTAGAGCTACATAACTTATTAAATAGAAGTTTTATAAGTCTTACTCCTAATGTTGACTTAATTGCCACCACAACCACCCTGGTTCAGCAGCTGATATATAACTGTACAATACATTAAACCTCATGTCAGTACTAAATTATCATCATCATAATAAGTGACTGTCCCTAGAAATAAAGAGGTTGTCCTTTCTTTTTTGTTTAATATTTGTTTTTCATAATCATTGTACTATAACATAATGGGTCTTGCCCATGTTTTATATCATACTTTTGGTGGGTAGTGTATATACTATACATGTATATATAAAGATATATTATTTTACCATTTGTGGATATATAAATGTCATA